AACTGTTGTTGGTTGTTTCTTTTTACTCTTTGTCCTTTTGGGGGCCTACCACCCAGCTCCCAAATTAATCACATGCAGGAAGACCTATTACTTATAAATGACCAGCCTTAGCTTTTTCCAGCCAGCTTTTCTTAACTTAAATTATCCCATGCATCTTTGGCCTCTGGGCTTTTACCTTTCTCTATTTCTGCATATCTTTTCTTGCCTTCTTGATCCACGTCTGGCTGCATGGCTGGGTGGCTGGCCCCTTCTTTTCTCACTCCCCTCTCCTTTCCCCAGATTTCTCCTATTTATTCTCTCTGCCTACCAGCCCCGCCTATCCTTTCTCCTGCCTTGCTATTGGCCGTTCAGCTCTTTATTAGACCAATCAGGTGTTTTAGACAGGCACAGTCACACAGCTTCACAAATGCATTAAACAAATGCAGCATAAAAGAAGGCAACACACCTTTGCATCATTAAATAAATGTCCCACAGCATGAACAAATGCAACACCTCTTAAAATAATATTCTACAACACTCACCTTTCATTATTTTAATTGGCATTTTTAGTTCACGAAAACAGGAATAGAAATCAATAAGAAGTTCATAAAGTTTGATGCAGTCAGTTGGAATGGACCCAGCATCTATCTTACTGTTAAAGGAAGCCAGGGAGGGACAGATGCTGCCGATGCCCCAGTGAAAACCACAGTGTGGCACTTGGCCTTCTCTGCTGCTTCCTGTCTGTCCTCTGTCTGTGTCTCTTTCCCCATGAGCGAACACACGTTCACCCAGCATGAAATGCACGGCAGGGTAGGCAAAGGGAGCTAAAACAACAGGAAATGATGTCACCGCTTGGGCCGTAAGCCATTCTGTACGGTGTCAAGTGCATGATATATTGGGGCAGGTGTGTGTGGAGTGCCTAATTTGTTCTAATCCTGACTTCAATGAGTAAATGGAGTGCGTTAGTAAATCCCAAAGGGGTCACCCTTTGCATGCATCCAAATTACCATCAGCCAGGCGTGCTGTTTATAGCCTTGGGATTTATGAAATTTTACTGCTGATAGGACAGTAAAACAGGAAGAAGAAAGATTTACATTTTTATTTTACCTTATCTGTATGAGCACGATATCTGAGTATTGTGTGCAACCTAGAATTGGAGTTTCTCACAGTCAGGAATTCCCAAGTGGATGCCGGGAATTGAACCCTGGTCCTCTAAAAGAACACATACTCTTAAATATTAAGCCATCTTTCCCCAGGCCAGAAAGAAACTTTTTTCTTTGTTTTTGTTTGTTTTGTTTTGTTGTTGTTGTTGTTGTTGTTTTGTTTTTTGAGACAGGATTTCTCTGTGTAATAGTCCTAGCTGTCTTGGAACTTACTTTGTAAACCAGGCTGGCCTCGAGCTCACTGAGACCTGCCTGCCTCTGCCTCACAAGTGCTGGTGTTAAAGGTGTGCACCACCAGCACCCAGCAGGAAGAAACATTTAAAAAGATCTATAGCTGTTTGCCAGAAGTGATTTCCAGAGTTATTAAAAGAAAAAAGAATATCAATAAATAATGCTATACATTTAAAAAGTTTTAAAGGATCTAATTTTATTTTCTGGGTTTTAAATTCTATATTATTTTTAGAATGTATCAGATTTTATTTATTTTATGTGCAGTTGTGTAAGTGCGGGCATGTGCATGTCCCATGTCCATGTCGGGTTGGAGGACAACTGAGGAAATCAGTTCTCTCCTTCCACCCTGTGGGTCCTGGAGGTTATATTCAGGTCATCAGCATGGCAACAGGCATCTCTACCTAATGAACTGTTTTGCTAGCCCCAAGCACATAATTTTTATAGGTGTGGTCTTTATGGAACTTCATAGAACGTCATGGTAACCCCATGTAGTAGGTAGAATATTACTCTAATTTTGAGTTTGTGTATAAAGAAAGGAGTTTGGGATTGAGCACTTACCTCAGGGTTTGAACACTTATCTGAGCAGTGTGAAGCCCCTGCAACATTCTTCATCCAGCTCAAAAACAAAACAACAACAACAAAAAAAAAACAACCAAAAAACCAAAATCCAAACAACAACAACAACAACAACAAAAAAAAAACCCAAAAAGATTTGGTTCAATAATGTCTCTTTGACCTATGGACACAGCAGATTTCATTATAAATGATTTAGAAAAGTGTGCTTATCTGAATATTTTATTAGCTACTATTTTGTTTCAAGATGTCAGACTAGCCCCCTAATTAATTTATGTCACATTAAGATTGTCATCAGTCAGTATCACCCTAGAGCAGGTAGAAACATGAAATGACTGTGTCTGAAATGAAGATTTTGCTTATAGGAGCAATCATGTTGGCCTGGCTGTGTATTTGTTAAGCACAAAGTGTGCACCAAGCAAAACAAGCCAGACCCTTGTAGATGTTTTTCTCCCTCTGCTTTGTAACCTATCTACCCTAGCTGATGATATGGCTCCATGGGCAAAGGAACTTGTTTCCAAGCCTATGCCTTGGCTTTGGTTCCTGGAACCCACATGGTGGGAGGAGAAAACCAAATCTCACAAGTAGTCCTTTGATCTGCACTGTGCTTACATGCGTACACACATATGCACACCCTCCATAGGTCAGTAAATATAAAACAAGAAAGAAAGGTTGGGGGCTGGTTCAGCTGGTAGAACTGATTGCCCCAAAGACCTGAGGACATGAATCCAATCTTTAGAACCTACGTGGAGATGGAGGGTTAAAACTAACTTTGTAGAGCTGACCTCCGATCTCCACACTTGTATTATGGCACACACACACACACACACACACACCACATGTCACACGCATCACATGTCACACACATCATACACATCATACACACACATCACACATCTCACACGTATCACACATGCCAATCACATACACATGTCGCACATGTTATACATACACTAATGATGATGATGATAATAATAAATTAAAAATGTAAAAAGATTACAGCCACCCCAAAGAGACACAGAACTAAAAAGGTAGAAGACACTATCTGGAATGTTCTGGATTGCTTACGGTGACTGAGGACCAGTCTTGTCTCTTTCCAGTCTACCTGTTCAGCTGTGGGGTCACCAAATAGAAACCAGCTGGAAGTCTAAGCCATGTGATTGTGCGGAAGGCATTTTCCATACTTAGAGTTTATTTGGTTCTTTAAGAAACCGCCAGTCTTCTCTCACTGTCCTGGGGGCCAGAGATGACACAGTTTTCATCCCTGAAGATACCACAGTCAAGTGGGGCAAATGGACGGGCCCCGAACCGAAGCAACAGCTAAAACCATCCAAAACATAACAATCACAATGTCTGTGAGAATGCAAGGTAGTAATAAAATCTGTTCAAAGGGATGGGGAAAACTTCTTGGAGGAGGGAATGTTGGAAGATACAAAAATAGCTTTGGCCAACAAAGAGACAGATAGATATTCTATTCAAAAGAAATAAAAAAGCCAAAGCTACAGGATAATTTGTTGAAATGGACAACTCATAAAATATGTGCAAAAAATTCCAAATTAAAATAAAAAATATTCATAAAAATGGTTTCTAATCTGAAACTTCTGTTCATACAAGTCTGCCTGTGTGTCTTCCTGCAAGCAGCTCAGTTCCAGAGCGGTGAGTGTTAGGATTTCACACACACAGGACTTGAACAGGAGTCTAATCAAAATGTAGAGTGTGATCAAGTCTGCTATTGAGGCGGGAGCTGAGATTCTGTACTGTTACCACGTTTCCAGACGATCCTGGGGCTGCCAGTCTGCAGACCACTTTGTAGGCGTGGATATTGAGTGGGAGGAGTGCAGGGGTTGGGCTTAGCCATCTAGGCACAGGGATGCTAGTCAAGGGGGGGGTGGAGCTTGTGTCCCATGGGCTTGAAGGGATGCTGATGTACAACAGGCAGCAATGTTCTTAAACAAAGTGATGGCAAGGTTACATCTGTGTCTGATGACAATATGAAGAAGGGCCGGAAGTGTGGGGACAGGCCACGGGGTGAGAGCCCGTTGCCATTTATCCAGGCACTGTTCTAAAGTACCTGACCATCGCTAGTGGTAGCAGTGGGTATGAGGCAGAGAGTGGATTACAGGAGTGTTCAGGAGGTAAACAGGCAAGGTGTGAGGGATTTGAGGCATGGGTGGGAGGCAACGACGATGGTGCTTAAGGAGCAGCTGTGGCGGAACAAGCTTTGGTACTGTCACGGTGATGTCTAGAATGTGGACAGAGGAACTGGACAAGCCTGAAGCAGAAAGAAGCCTTAGTTATGATCTAGAACTAAGGTCCAGGAAAGCTGGACCCACACTGAGATGCACAGGAAGAGTCACAGAAATGGAGAAGAGGGTGAGATTCAGTTTTAGACTGGCCAACACATAGGAAGCCACCAGCAGTCAGATCCCAGCACTCAGATACAGCATTTAGAAGCCCAACAGATCCTGCAGAAAGCTTACACAGCAATGGGACTTACTTAGACTTAGCACTGAACGTTCAAGATGCCATTAGGGACATAATTTCAGACACACTGCAGATGCAGGGCCAAGCCAATTACCCTTTCATGATTCTTGATTATTAAAGTATTTACCTGAAATTCGGAGACAGGTTGGCAGCAAACATTTGGTAGTCACTTTCTTTGGAGTAGGGGTTGGGATAGTTCGACTCCAAGTTTAATTTCTATGTTTGGTATTTTCCCTTCATCACCAAGGTGAAATCCACGTTTATCTAACATCACCATGTTTATTTTGGGGACTATTATATGTCTCTTTCTTCCTTTTGAAACTTTTCTTTCAAAATAACGTGATGTTTACAGTCAAATCAAATAGGACAAAGATATCCCAACTGTGCCCTTACCCAACCGCCACTCACGTCAAGGTCTTGCACCAGACTGATGTTACAATCTAGGCCAGCACACCAATGACTGTTTACATTAGGGTTCTCTTTTTGGCATAACTTATTTTTAAATCTAAAAATAGAGGGGATGCACTACCAACCCTTCAGAGTTCGATCTTCTCTGACTTCCATTTCCTTTCTGTGATCACTCCGTTGCCCATCGACGCTCACGCCGTGGCTTGACGCCAAGTGTTGTTGTGCAGCGCACAGCTCTGATAATGCTTGTTGCTCAGCCTTCTTCGGTGGCTCTCACTCCGTAGCCTGGCCATTACAGTAAGTTCTTAATGTGTGCTCTATCACTGTGGTATCATCTGGATGATTGCATACTAGGCTGACCCACGGTAGAGGCAGCAGGTGCCTACCGGCTCACTGTTATGAGCAGGCTGAAGGTTCAGCTGAGGCGCAGGCGGTAAACCTCAGACGGTCCCTTGAGACACCATCCTGTTTCAGCTCTTTCCTCAGCTTGTCCTTTTGTCTCCTGTTCTGTCCATCCTAAATGCTTTTCTCTGTGGTTTGATGCAAATGTGGGGCCTGGATGCTTTTATAGTCTTGCCAACTCCCTAGGTTGATAAGAAGCATAGAAATAGCAGTTGCTGGTGACATTGCTTTTGGCTTTCAAATCAAAGACGGTTCAGGGCACTGTGGTGATGGGTCAAGAATGGTTTTAATCATTTTAAAAAAGAATTACATACTTTTCAGTGCAATCTTAAAATTGCACCATGGTTATGGTGGATTTTTTTTCTCCATTGTTTTGAAAGAAAACTGCAAGAGGGGCTGGAGAGATGGCTCAGCAATTAAGAGCTCTTCCAGAGGACCTGAGTTCAATTCCTTCCCAGCACCCACATGGCAGCTCATAACTGCCTGTAACTTCAGTTTCAGGGTATCTTGAACCTCCACACATACATACATGGAGGCAAAACATTATTGTGCATGACATAAAGATAAATTATGAAAAATAAGCTGCAAGAAGCAAGATATTGTTGTGGGATATTTGTTTACACTGTTTAAAGAGGTGTCATTGTGATTGGTTTCATAAAAAGCTAAGTGGCCAATAGCTAGGTGGGAGACAGGACTTCCAGATAGAGAGAGGAATGCTGGGAAGAAGAAAACTTTAAGACATATACATATTTACTATAAATTAAGTGTGATTCCAATGCCACACCACCAGTTTCTTACCATCAGTAAAGACTAGAAGTAGAAACATGTCCTTCCTTTACCTCCTCTGTGTAGCTATAGTTTTCTTTGCCACCAGAGACATGGAATGATTATTTCTAAGCCTTTTTTATGGTTCTTATTCAATCTAATTTATAGGCACTTCACAGAGTGTAGAACATAGTGCTCACTGGTCTTCCGACGGGAGTGGCTGCTCGCCTCACGTGATCTCTGAGGCTCAGCAGGTATCCATGGACACAGGCTTCACAGGGCTCAGACGTGCTCTCCTCCCCAGCGGAAAAGCCCAGGGCTCCACCTCTAACTTCAGCTCCAGGAGAGTTTCATTTGTTCCAAAAGGTACAGCTATGAGGAAAAGCATGCTGGAGGTCACGTTCTGTGAGCTGATTTCCCATCTAGTGGTCCCTTATGTTGTGTGTCCTTCCTGTTTTAGATGGCAGGGATGGCTTTATCCTAGGCAGTAGCTGGGTTGTTGTTTGTTCAAGTATACGTGGCAATGTTGGTCCTGATTAATATATGTAATCTCATGAGTAATTCCTTCTCTGCATTTGCCCTGAATCTTTGAGACCAAGTCCCAAGTCCCATGGACTCCTCTCCAAATCGTCCTCTTACTAGTGACACTAGCCTACTGCCCCTCATTTCTTTTCATCCTGTCTTGGACTTTATTGATGGCTTTCTGATGTTGAATCTGGAGAAAATTTATTCATGTGTCAACTCAGCAAGTAGCACTTATTAAACACTATAAAACTGAGCATTTTACCACGCAGGAAAGATATTTAGTTGAACACAGCATTTGCTTTGTGCCCCAAGAGCTGCTTAGATATGTGGAAGGGGGAGTCATTTTTATTCCTTTTAATCTGAAGAGGATGACCCGTCCATCTGACTGCATTTGGATAACCTCTGGGCTTTGGGGCAGCTTTACCTAGTGTCCAGCTCTCTGTGCACCCATGGGTAGGGCCCTCCTCTTTTCACATCTGGGACGTCGAACACGCCCAAGGAGACTGGTAATGATTTCCTTCTTGGCTCTAAGAGTTTCCTGGGTTTTTCTGACATCGCTCTATGTGCAAGGGGATTGGCCTGGCTATAAAGACATACTGGTAGTTGAATGGATTCTACTGAGAAAAGGAAAAGAAATGCAGGCACACTGCAGCTGAGTCAACCAGATCTACCTTCCACAGCAAATGTTCAACCCTCAGAGTGACCTGTGCCGTGGGCAGGAAAGGAAGAAGCCACCCAGAGAGGCATTTCCTAAGGCAAGATTAAGCAGAGATGGGGGAGACTGGACTTTGTCAAAAGGAACCGGAGGAAAGTGCGCTGCCTCCAACAGCGTGATTCCAGGAAAGGACAGAGCGATGGGAACCCAACCACTCAGCATCTCAGCATACACAAAACTTCTTTATCACCACCTAGCCAGCCAGGGCCTTCATTCTTCAGGGCTCCGCCCCTCACAGCCAACAGCCAGGGCACTCCAGCTCAGGCAGTGCTTAGGCATCTTTTTCCAGTGACACACTGCGGGCCGAACCTTCCTCCCGCTGGAAGACCTTTCTCACGTCTTACCCGAACCCCTCAAGCTACAGCTGAAGTCCAATCCTGCCTGCATAGCTGAAACGGAAGTGGAAAAGAAACCGTCACCTTTTCCTTTATCTGAACCATCCAGACATTTGCTGGCTTCAAAAATAAATTCTTTTCCCACTTTGGTCAGTAGAGCATCGCTCCGAACTGGTAAATTCCAGAGAAACTTTGTCCTATCTCTACACTTAAAGGGCACAAGTTGTAATTATCCAACAGATTAAAAGTGCAGCCACAGTACTGCCCTCCCCACCTGGTTTGTTCAGGCAAATCCTTTGCTCTGGACTCTTAATTTCCACCCCGAACACAGCTCACTGCTTAAAGAGCATATTGTTCTCTGTCTCTGGAACCCATTGTGTATTGCACCAGAGACAATGCGCTGCTCATTCAGCTGCGGCCGTCGGGTATGAAACGCTCCACACTGGTCGGCGCAAACTCAGAAGGAAGGGACACCAAGTGTGTGCTCGCACATGCACCGTGTGCACGTGACTGCGGGGACCTAGGACCCACTCTGGCTGTCCGAGCATCCTTAAGCATTCACGACCTCTCTCTTGGCTCTGGAGGCTGTCCCCGCAGCCACCCTTCCACCCCGTGGAACTGGAACTGGATAGTTGTTGGCACGGTCCTGAGGACGGCAAGCCAGATTGGGCGGGGCCGAGCATTCCATTATCATAACACAATGCCATACTAGGGTACAGAATTCCTTTCATATTAATTCTTATACGAGAGGAGTATTCAGGCTCAACTTTTACACAGAAAAGGGAGGTAGGAGGCAGCCAGCTCTTTGTTGTGTTTTTGAAACCGGAGTTACCATATTCATCCAGCTGAATGACGTGAAGCGCTCTCTCCCGCGCGCCACCCAGCTCAGAACATCTCCTGGTGGCCTTGGCTGTGTGACTCTGAACCTGGCAGCCCACGCTGCTCTTGGGAAACCGGTCCTTCTGGAAAACTGGCTTGTTCTCCTCTCCCCATGACCCGAGTGCTTTTGGGTGTGGAGCCAAAATATTACAAGGACTCCTCGGAGGCCTCTGATTTGAGCAGCAGGCTAAGCGGATGGGCTGCCAGTTGGTCTCCAAGTGAAGTGTCCCCTGAAGCCCCCAACCAGTCACTGCCAGAGTGTGGGTGAGAGGCTCTCTGGCTGGTCTGAGGGAAGGCAGGATACCTCCTCCTTAGGTAACTCTTCCTTCTGCATCTCTTGCTGACTGACAGGCAACATCATAGTCTAGACATGGTTCTTCGACCCAGAAACCCGAATGCTCTTTCAAACTTGGTTATCATCCCTTGGGTTTGGTTTCCTACCCCAGAGTCTGGGTGGAGAAGCTGGTGGGCGGGGACTAAGCAAGGTGGCAATGTAGGGTGGACACCCAGAGAGGGGCAAACTTTGTCTTCATGAAGTGCAGGCAATGAGTTTAGCAGTCTTTGTAGCCAGCGCATCTCCGTTCAATATGATATTCTCAGTGGTGTGAGTAGAAGTATATCCAAGGAAATCCCTCTGAATTCAAGAGAGCTCTAATATGCCTACGACAGCAATTTACAGTGTCATCTTTAATTCATATATTACTTTATTTATTTATTTACTTTAATTCATTTATTACTTATCAGAGCAGACATTTATCTAGACGTTAGAGTGACAGCACGGAATCTCTGTTTGTTTTAAGGGTGAATAAGGAAGATTTTCCGAGCCTGGACTCCCCAGCTCCCTAGAAGCACCCTTCAAGTGTTCTGCAAGTAGGTGCTTCCTAGACACCATCACAGCCTCACTTACTGCTACAGGGGAATGTGGACACTTTGCCATTTTCCTTGAGTTTCTGTTTGTTTCTAATGAAAGAGACTCCACATGCAAATGCAGTTCCCTTTCCCCAGGTTTCCATCTGTGCAACTTCAACTCTAGAGTCTGTTGGGGGGAGGGGGGGTCGTTCATACAGGATTCCGGCCTGAAGAACCGTGGCGAATACCAACCGAGGAAAGTAATAAAATCTATGAAAAATTAACATAGCTAAAGAGGATTAGAGCATCCCTTTCTCCTCAGGCTACAGCGCTGAGGGTCACCAGCAAGTGACCATGATTTAATGAAGTGGCACTCCCTCTGATTAGCCCAAAGCTGGCCTGGCGTCTTCCACAGCACAGCTACCCTGTTTTCCAAGCATGCCAAGCAAATGCTGAACGTTCTCCCAGCCTGAGGGAGCTGGCAGTGGACAGTGAGGACATTCCACTGAAACTGGGCCATCGGGAGCCGAAGACAAAGGCAGCTGATTCAAGTGCACCAAATTGGAGTTTCTCTAATCAAATATATTAAATCCGCCATCATTCTTGATTGTTTTAATGGGAAGAAGGGGCAGCTGTGCCTTTCATTTCGTGCCATGGGGGAAAGAGGAAGGGGAGGGGAGGCAAAGTCAGCTGGAAAGGGAAGAGGGACGGGGATGGCAAAGAAAACTACAGGAAACCGTGTCCTTTGTCCTAACCGTAAAGTGATTTCACATGCTGTTCAGCTCCACATGGAGAGTTCCCAGAGCTGTCATTCGCCGAGAATGCCCCGGCGCTCTGCTTATAAAACACAGGAGTAGAAAAGTAGCCCAGGAACAGACTTGGGGCCCAGAACACTCAGCAAGGAACCCTGGTGACCAGTGTTAAGAAGCTTTGTTCCACTGGCCACATGGAAACCTACTCAGCAAAACCTTTCCCCTTTGATATTTGTGCTTTGTGCAAGAATTAACTCTCAAGACCCTCAGGGGGCAACTCATCTTTACTCCTTTTGTAACCTTTTGGGCTAAGGGCAGAAGCCACGAAAGGCCCCTTTTAACCTTATGGACACTGAGTTTAAAATCCCACTGCAGAAACCTGGTCCAAGCTATTTACTTTTTAAATAGCTTAACAGATGGCCCAAGAGAGGCTTCCTGCCCAAAGTGAGCAGTGCCTGTGAAGTCGTGGTGTGCACCTTTGACTTCGGAGCTGTGTGTGATGTCACTTCCTCAAATCTGCTGTGTTGATAACAGGATGAACCTGAGTAAGATAGGAAACCACTTATGTGGGCCCACGGCCGGCGGGCGACTTCAGTAGACCTCGCCAGTGCTTCTAACACCCGAGTGCAAGGTCTCAAAGGGAGCAAAGGGCTACGGCCTGCAGCTCTGGCCTCAACAGAATCTACAGTGAGTCATTCAGGGAAAGGGCTTCGGAAGCTCGTGCCTGTTACCAGCCTGTTTCTGAGTTGGAATGTGAAGGCAGCTGGTTGTGTCAAAGGGCCAGAGAATAAAGGCACGAGGTAAAATGAAGACCCGATTCACCCGAGAGAGAAGATGCTATTAAACCAGGCCCTGCTTCCCCAGCCTCTTCCTTGGAGACCCTCCTTAGAATCTGTTCCTCCTCTGAGAAAGAAGGGTAAAGAGGTTCCTTTCAGAAAAAAAAGTGTTATTGGGCTCTCTTTAAATGTCCTCATTTGAGGGGAATTAAAAGGAAATGTCAAAAGACAGCATCTATACACTCAGGGGCATTGTATCAAGTGACACAATGCCGGTGAAATGAAGCCCTCATCCTTCGGGGGAATCTAATAACTCCATCAATCAACTCAGGCCTCCTGTCATCTACGCTAGGCCTCCAGCCTCCTCCAGCAGGTCCTGAGATTGGTCTTGAGACAGCTGGATGGGGAAGAGATTTGCCAGTGTCTGTGGTCTTTTCTGCTTTCCCTCCCTCCCTCTTGCAGGCGCAATCAATGCCCCTTTGTCCTCAGGGCCCTCTTCCCTCCGGGCATGGCCTGAACAGGCAGGGTGGCAAAGGCCAAAGGAGCAGCTCAGCTCTCAGCCCTGTTCTTCAGCAGCCCCAAGGGGCATGAGCCTCGTTTGCAGCCTGGGAGTCAGGCCCAGAGCTGGCGGGCTCCAAAGAGGTGTCTGCTGTTCTCCTGGAGGGTGTGGCTGGTGCTTAGGTAGCTTTCTCTCCCAGTCTGTGCCTGTGAGAGGAGTAGAGGATGCACAGGGCTGAGAGCAGAGTGACCGATTCCATCAGCGTCCCCGATTCTATCACCAAATTTACGCAGGAAAGCTTTGGCAAGTCCCCTTGCCTCCTTGTGGCTTCCCGGCAGCCTTGGAGGCTGGGTAAGAGTGACAGACCGGTGTCTTTATGTCTGGTGATGTGAACGGGATACTACCAGTGACAGCTGAGGATGTGGTACAAGAGACACAGGCGTCAACGTCAGACGGCCTCTGGTTGGATCCTGACCACACTGCCATATGGTTTTGTTCAAACTGTAAAGCTTCTGCTTCTCTTCTGAGAAAGTATCAGGTTAGTTTCTATGGACCACACAAGCACACTGTGAGTTTAATGACCGTACTCAGGAGGAAGGATGTGGATGGATGCCAGCACACACTCCATCTAAAACATCAGCCCCCTTTGTAACCTGTCAGTGTTGACGTCATAAAAAGCCCCACTCATCTAAAAGCCTCAAAATCTGAAAGAAGTCGTGTTGCCCATTCATGTCAAGGGTTCGAAACGCTAATTTCAGAGACAAAACTGAAAAAAAGTCATATATTGAAAGACTGGGTTATAGAGTAGTTGATCTTGCCAAGTAAGTTGGTTAATTCACAATGCCCACTGATCTCGTTATCTCTCAATTAAAATTGGTGTGTGTGTGTGTGTGTGTGCATTCATGTGTATGTTTTCATATATATGTATGTGTGTGTGAGTGTGTGTGTGTGTGTGTGTACACGCACATATGTTTGAGTTCAGGTCCATGTATGCCATGGAGCGTATGTAGAGATCAGAGCACAGCTTGCAGGAACTGCTTTTCTCTTCCTACCATGTAATTCAGGGTTTGAACTCAAGTTATCAGACTTATGTGGCCATCACTTTCACACAGTGGGACATCCTGCTGGTCTTATTTATTTATTTATTTATTGTGTATACAGTATTCTGCCTACATGCATGCCTGCAGTCCAGAAGAGGGCACCAGATCTCATCACAGATGGTTATAAGCCACCATGTAGTTGCTGGGAATTGAACTCAGGACCTTTAGACGAGCAGGTGGTGCTCTTAACCACTGTGCCATCTCTCCAGCCCTTAGCTCATCTCTTAAAAGGACAAAGGTCATAATAGTCATCATTCTTGACTGGGAAAGGACTCTTATTAAGCTGACCTATGTAAAGAATGCAGGTTCTTTAAGAATATACAGGTTCCTTCAAAAAATTCTTTATCTGCGTGCATAATGTGTGCTTATGAGGGGATACACAAGCAACGGTGAGCCCATGGAGGTCTGAAGACAGCTGTGCGGAGTTAGTTCTCTCATCTGACCTTTACATGGGTTCCAAGGATCTAATTCAAGTTGCCAAACTTAAGTACCTTGACCTCTGAGCCACCGCATCATACATATGCGGAAACAGAAAGTGTATTTTTCCTCCATTTTTAGCCTACTGCGGGCCTGGGGTGGTTTCTCTACTCTGTCACCTGTACATGACTAGTCCCGAGAAGCCTTTTCTGAGGAGCAGTTAGCTAGTTAGCCTATCCCTGGGCGACTGTGTTAGTAGCCTGCTATAATTTTGATTCTTTTTCCTATTCAGCACAGCACCTACGTGTATATCATCTGTGTGACGTGGTCAACACTGTGCCCCCAGAACTTCCCAGAAGGGAGCAGAAGAACTTGTAGGAACCGGTCATTCCATTCTGCACTCCGACTGCCTCCCTCCTTGGATCCATGTGGAAAGAGCTCTCCTCAGATCCTGGAAGAGCAAGCTGAGCTCATGTCTAAAAGACAGGCTCCTCCTTTCATTGGCCTTCATGGCATTTGGGGGTACCTGGCTATATTGGCCCCTTTGGGCACTACCCACACAGAACTCCTGTGAACTCACATGGCATGGGCACCTTTGGGGCTCATCAGATTAGATTCTCCTGGTCCTCCAGCCACACTTCTATCTTGGCTCAGTCCTGGAAGAAAAGAGCATCTGAGTTCAACCATCCCTTCACCCCTGTCTTTCCCTGGCAGGATCATCAGGGACCCCAGCCTAGAGAGGACTATTTCTTTTGAGCAGGCGCCTGGGCTGCTCTCATCAGCTGGGAATCCAGCCATACTCCCGCCTCCATCCCTGCCCTTGTGGAGTGGAGGGCTAATTGGGTAGGCTAGATATGAGAAGCTGGACGGATCCCCACCTCCTACTGATTTGGGTTCTTACATGGAGGCCCCATGTGTTGTGAATTACAGAAATGCCAGCCACACCCACAGAGAAACGCAAGCACCAAAAAGCCTTTGAGAGCCAAGTGTCTGCAACTCTGAACGCTGTCTCTGCTCGTGCTGGCTCTACGAGGCTGGCTTCCACTAGGGCCAGTGAGTCGGAGCTCCTGGCATTTGTTGGGCACCAGGTTGCCTCATTTCTGATGCTTTTCTTTAACTTTCTGCTGCCAGCAGCTAGGGCTGTGCCAGTGTCACCCTCTCCCTACAAGGGCAGGGATGCTTCTCCATGGGAGGTCTCTTTGCCGTCAGAAAGAAACACACAGAAAATCCATTAGGCCTAGCATCAAATCTTGCTCTGGTAAGAGATGCCAATGCCTCTTGCTGGAATCTGAGTCATAACCCATAGGCTTTAGGAGATTAGAGAGCAATCGGGCTCAAGGTCCCCCCCTGGCCAAACACAGACATTAAGTCCCATGCTACCTCTCTGCTCATCTGGGCCTGGGTCGTCCAATCTACAGATGGCATCAAGGACAGCTCCCTCCTTCTGGACCTGTCCTGGTGCGGGAAGAAGGCAGGTATGGCAGCGTAGTCATGTAAATGGGTTTTGTCTTCTTGGGTTTATGAATTTCTTTTAAGGTGATTTTGACTACAAAGAACACTGCCTGTCTTCACTGGGAGACTTTAGTTCTACCAGGGCGCTCATCAAGTGCTAGG